AACTAAAACCAAAACCAAAATCACCACCTTCATTCAATTTAACCTAAACGAAAAATGACGTTGAAAACGGATTTTTATCCACAATCGGTACTTTAATTTATACAAAATATAGTCATAGGCATATCCCTAAACCATGCACCTAATCTCATTCATGACAGAAGTCGCATTTAGAGTTTCTTTCAGGCAACTCTACTTGGGAGGAGGGGGCTCCGCCCCCCCCACACACACACCCCAAAACATGTCTACCGTCCCATTTAACGAAATATAATTATATACTTTTTCCAGTGTCCGCCCCCTCCCAGAAAATTCTACCATCGCCCCCGAAAATTTCAAGTACCCCCACACCTCTCCAGGGAGGAAAAAGTCTGAAAGAAACACTGGTCGCATTTGTAGATCATACAAACTAAAGGAAGAACCTGGGCGGGACTTCGCCCCTACCGGAAGAGATACATGAAAAAAACTGCACTCTAAACACTTTTTTTAAACACTGGTGTCGCGCTTCGCCACTACCCGAAGAATTGCATGAAAGAAACGGCAAGCAAACCACTTTTTAGAGTAGACACATTAATTAGGCGGTAATTTTATTATAGAGTATCGATGAAGAAATTTCTTTTGAGTTGGGGAGGGGGGTGGCTCAGACGCTCTTACGCGGGGTGGGGCTTCGCCCTACCCGAAGAATTGTATGAAAGAAACTCTTCACGCAAACCACTTAGATTAGACAAAATTGGCTTTTTAATTTAATGTTTACTCGAGAATCAATGACGTCATATTATTTTGTGCACTCTCCCGGCTGTCGACTTTTTTCTACTATATGCTGAATATGACGTTATATTTCGCTTCCGCTTTACTGTGAAAGTTTTTAATTTTCTTGTGTTTTCTCTAGAGCGTTCTTGTCAGATACATAGACAGATAGATAGATAGATAGATAGATAGATAGATAGATAGATAGATAGATAGATAGATAGATAGATAGATAGATAGATAGATAGATAGATAGATAGATAGATAGATAGATAGATAGATAGATAGATAGATAGATAGATAGATAGATAGATAGATAGATAGATAGATAGATAGATAGATAGATAGATAGATAGATAGATAGATAGATAGATAGATAGATAGATAGATAGATAGATAGATAGATAGATAGATAGATAGATAGATAGATAGATAGATAGATAGATAGATAGATAGATAGATAGATAGATAGATAGATAGATAGATAGATAGATAGATAGATAGATAGATAGATAGATAGATAGATAGATAGATAGATAGATAGATAGATAGATAGATAGATAGATAGATAGATAGATAGATAGATAGATAGATAGATAGATAGATAGATAGATAGATAGATAGATAGATAGATAGATAGATAGATAGATAGATAGATAGATAGATAGATAGATAGATAGATAGATAGATAGATAGATAGATAGATAGATAGATAGATAGATAGATAGATAGATAGATAGATAGATAGATAGATAGATAGATAGATAGATAGATAGATAGATAGATAGATAGATAGATAGATAGATAGATAGATAGATAGATAGATAGATAGATAGATAGATAGATAGATAGATAGATAGATAGATAGATAGATAGATAGATAGATAGATAGATAGATAGATAGATAGATAGATAGATAGATAGATAGATAGATAGATAGATAGATAGATAGATAGATAGATAGATAGATAGATAGATAGATAGATAGATAGATAGATAGATAGATAGATAGATAGATAGATAGATAGATAGATAGATAGATAGATAGATAGATAGATAGATAGATAGATAGATAGATAGATAGATAGATAGATAGATAGATAGATAGATAGATAGATAGATAGATAGATAGATAGATAGATAGATAGATAGATAGATAGCCTACATAGATACATAGACAGACAGCGAAACTTTAGTATTAATTGACCAAAAGTAAATTTAAAAAATAAAAAATAATGTAAAAAAAAAAAACAACTTTGTTTATGTACTTCGGAAATTAGATTTAAGCTTACTGAAGATGGTTACAGAGGTGTGGCGTAAAGGTAAATGAAATACCCTTAAGAGTCAGTGGCCGGTAAAAACCGATCACCAACTTTTCCAAGATAGGTGAGGGCGCCAACGTAAATCGGAAGGATTTAAACCCGATAGGTAAATGGATAAATCTTTTAACACTCAGAAAATAAAACAAACGTTATAATAACAAGCTTGTATGTAATTATGCACTAAAGGTTATTTAGAAAGTCATTAATTGTTATTATTTTTAAATTAAAGTTTCATAAAGTGCGAAATTGAATTTTTTTTTCGCAGAAACCTCCCCCGGATTACCTACACTATCGCCCAGTGTGCCATGAGCACACCATGGGGCGTGCTGTATGAAAGCCTTGAGATTATGTTAATGGCAGGGGCACCGCGTACGGCCCCTGGCTCGGTTTAATCATCAATATTGTAGGGTGTTCCTTAAAACTAATGTGGGCGCAGGACGCAAAATTGTACCCTGCTGGTGCGCCTAATTATGTTTAGTGAACGTCTCCAAAACCCTATCTTATGCACAGTCAATCGTACTGTTTAAAATGAATGTAAGCACTAGTCGCTCACGGGATAGCCCGGGGCGCCAGGTTGCAACCTGCCAGGGCGACGACTAACGCGCCTGATTCAATTTAGTAACCGACTATAACGCCCCATCTTATCCATTTGCCTATTGCGCTTTTTAGAACAAACGTAGGTGCTATTGGGCACATGGGTAAGCCAAGGGCGCCAAATCTCACTCTGCAGGGGCGCCAGAGGACGCGCCTGAATCGATATAGTTAACAATTATTGTATATGGCCTTTTTAAAAACGAACGTACACGCCATAGAGCTCACATGGAAGCCCAGGGCTCTTTGGGACAAGCAATGACCGGGAAGCCAGCGGCTTCTTCTTTCTTCTTCTTCGTTCTTAATTATTAGTGTTGAAGGGGATCGAGATTTATCTGCCAGTGCGTTTGAACTCGAGACTCTGTTCGAATTTATCAACCATGAGCTTTTTGCCGACTCGACCACGCCTCCAACACAATTAAGCGTTACGTGTCAACTGGTTATGCGCCATTGAGGCCATTGACTCCGATTTCAGCCTGCTTTGCTTTTTGGATTTGCTTCCAAAGCCTTTGTCCAACCAAGAACAAACTACAAGGCAGCAGTCATTTGTTTAATTTTGGAGTTGTCTCTCCTAGAAGAGTGGGGGTTCGAACTCGAGACTTTTCGGTTTAGCAACCATGAGCTTTACCGACTCGACCACGCCGAACCCTTTTTAATAGTACCCCTTTTCCGCTATGCAGGACGACCGATTAACGGATGCCAAATGCTCAGATAGCTGTTCTGGAACTCCGAGCGCCAAACCGTCAAAGTCTTTGACTGGAGAAGCAGTAATAATCAGTTTAATGATAGTTGCAACACCCATTACGTTCTGATTAGAATCAGCAGCAATAAAACGCGTTTTAACATTCTTAGACAATGTGGAATTCAAATGCTCAAAAAAATTCAATCAGGAGCTATAGCCAAATATGAGTTCTCTTTTACTGTATGGTTCGGAGCTAGGTTACAGACAGTGGAGAATGAAATAAGATAAGAGCATGGAAAAAGCTATGGTTCGGGCACACTAGAAAGAAAGTAAATAAATTACTATGCAGGTGTTGGTGTAAAGTCTACGCGAAAGAGGAAGAGAATGAGACAAAAAAAATCTGAAGAAAATCGTTTGAAATATAGATGTGGGAGGCTGGATTTTATGGGTTCCATCTTCATAAAAATCAAGTGAGGTGACGAAGTGTTGCCTACGCCTATGCTCCTTAGTAAACCGAAACGAATAAAAAGAAGAAAATAAAAAGAGGTTCAGTATAAAAGTCTCAGAGCTTCAGCGGAGGTCAGACGCAATCCCGAGATATGATTCACGATAACATTTTGTCAATGTAGACGATAAAACTATTAAGAAAGTTTCGGTGAAGACGCATATCAAACCAGTAGGGTTCGGTACCTCCAAAAATGTTAAGAACCACTACTTTAGAGTGTAGTTAGTATAAAGTGCAAGCTTATTTGGTCTACATTTGGGCGTGTCTTTAGAACAATTTTGATAAGAGTGTATTGCAGTTTAAAATTATCAGTTAGGTTGAACAAAGTAACAACGCTGTTGTCGTGTTGTGCCATTTTTTTTACATCGTTTAGTAGGTCTAGTGGCCTTAACTACATGAATATTGCAGTCTTAGGACTTGTTATGAAACAAGCAATAAAAAAAAATATCTATTCGGTACAATATTCTAATTTTTTTTTGGCTCTTAAAATTTCGGCAAGAGTATCGTCTTCCGCCCTCCCGTTCCGACAGTAATATGCTCAGAGTTTCTTACAGGCATCTCTTCGGGGGGGGGGGCAAAGCCCCCCCGAAAAATTTTTACCGCCCCCCCCCCGAACGAAATAGAATTTATATAATTCATATAGAAAATATATACTTTTAACAGGGTCCGCCCCCCCCCCCCCCGAAGAAAGTTTACCGCCCCCCCGAAGATTTCAAATGCCCCCCCGGAGAAAAAAGTCTGGAAGAAACACTGAATATGCTATATTACTGATCAGATAGCGATTCAAGAATCCGTGAGTTTATTTCTCTTTAATACAGTGATCCAGACACAATGTAATGCAATCAATTAAAAGCATCTGATCTCTCACGTTGAAGTTTAGAGAATCGTGAGAATCTTACGAAGAACTAGTCGCGTCATTTCTTAACAAAACTGGCTAGTGAAATTGTACATTACGCGTTAAGTGAAATTGTACATTACGCGTTAGTACAATAGGTTTCTATTCTTTTTTTTTCTTTAATACATAAATAAAGCATATTATTGTAAACGTTTTTATATTATTATTTACTTCCCTTTTTAAAAATGTTAATTAATCGCTTCCATTGTTATGTTTTTGAAAGTATTTTATACCTGTATCTATACATTATGATCCTGTGTAAAGAAAACGACATAGCTCCTAACCAGTTTTTATACCAAAGTCAGTAAGCTGATAAACATAGTGTATCAAGATGGAAAAGGAACACAATGCGAAAGGAATAAAAAAAATTCCTTCGAATAGAAGACACCATAAACGAAGTCAGAAAAGTGGGATAAGACCAAAGAGACAAAAGTTATCTTTTAGTAGTAAAGCAGGACAATGGCTCGAGCCCAGGATACTATTGATAGCAACTGGATTTACAATTTTGGGGCTATGCTTGCAAATTATTGCCATTTCAACTGACAGTTGGCTTATCATCGACGGCCCTGATAATTCACTCAGAAATGTTTCGGGACCAGTTTTAATAAAAGCTTATTCTGGATTATGGCGACTTTGCAAAACAGAAATGCATAAAGGCAAAAATGATTTGGGATCGAAAAACGCTCAACACATAGGTAAGCATATTTCAAATTATGATTTTAAAACTAAAACAAACTACTATTAAAAATTGTAAAAAAAATACTTATAATAGAAGAAGTATATTGTAAAAAATGTTGGAATCTTTTAATTGTATTGTAGTAAAACCAACTTTATCAATTTAATCGGTGGGCTACATTTTAAAACAAAAATTATAATATTAACGATTGTATACAATTACCAGTCTTAGCTTTTATTTTACGCTTTTATTTATTTGCGGAAATAATTAGTTTATTTTTCAATTCATAAAATAAGGTTTTCTAAGCCTAATCTTTAGGGTACTTTAAATCAAATGTTTTATAGCCAATTAATATGGGACAAAGGTATTTTGCGTAGCCTATTACAGCGCTGAGACGGTTAGGGGTTGCCCATAAATGACATCACACTCTAAGGGGGAGGGGGGTCCGTAATTTTGTGAGGGTGAGATGAGGGAAAGGGGGGGGGTGTTGTTCAGATGGTGTGATGTCACAATTTTGCATTATAATTTTAGCCGTTATTTCGCATTTTAGAAAAAAGAGTTCCGACAAGATTTTTGAAAAATATCGATGTTTAAAGAAAAATTCAACTGCAATTTTGAGGGGGGTTGTAGGCTAAGGTGTGACGTAATTTGGGGGGGTGGTCTTGCTTTTGTGACGATGTGTGACGGAGGGTAGGGGAGAGGTAAAATCGTCACAAAAAAAGGGTGACGTCATTTATGGATGAGCCTTTATGATACTGAGGTAGATAATTAAAATCAATTGTACACGCACACAAACAAAATTAAAATTTAAAAAAAAATTATACACCTTTGTTTAAGTAACTAAAAGCAATATCCATGTCTTTTAATTTTTTAAAGATACAGTTTGCGTAAGGCATAAATTCTTTTCATCGAAGGATTCGGAGTCAGAAAACAGAGAATTTGAGAGCAATCATTTGGGTAGGTATTGTAAATATATAGGCTATATATTTATATATATATATATATATATATAGATATATATATAGATATATATGTATGACTTTTTTCAAGTTGTTTGTGTGTGTGTTTGTGTGTGTAGGTAGCGTGTCTCGTTTCCATCCTGCACAACGCCAAATGTGACATACGTGTAACCTACCTTGTTAGGCTTTGTGCAACCCCTTCTCGCAGCGCCCTAATCTTCTTTTTCGTTCTTAATTATTAGTGTTGAAGGGGATCGAGATTTATCTGCCAGTGCGTTTGAACTCGAGACTTTGTTCGAATTTATCAACCATGAGCTTTTTGCCGACTCGACCACGCCTCCAACACAATTAAGCGTTACGTGTCAACTGGTTAAGCGCCATTGAGGCCATTGAATCCGATTTCAGCCTGCTTTTCATTTTGGATTTCCAAAGCCTTTGTCCAACCAAGAAAAAACTACAAGGCAGCTGTTGTTTGATTTTGGAGTTGTCTCTCCTAGAAGAGTGGCTGTCCCAAGCTAACGAGCCTCATCTGCCCGAGGGTTCGAACTCGAGACTTTTCGGTTTAGCAACCATGAGCTTTACTGACTCTACAACGCCGACCACGCAGACCCCCTTTTCTACATATAAATATGCCTTTATCTTTCTTCTTTAAATAAAATTTATTTTATACATTTAAAACATCTAACATATTATTTTCAACAAAAGTCCGTATCA